CATAAAGAAATGGAATGAGACCACTAACTTGTCACTAGTTAGTGATGATTTGTCAGTACCACTAACTACCAGACAATAATAATAATTAGAATTTCCTTCTGAAAAGAGTGGTACTTTATATTTTACAGAAAAAGTTGATGACAGGAGGCATGACAAATAGGGTGACCATATGGGAGAATGGGAAATAAGGGACATTCCCCACCCCCAGCCCCTCTCCAAGTCAGCAGCACTGCTGCAGACAGAAGCCAGGGGGCTTGGCGCACCAAGCAGGCAGGCAGCAGCAGCGCCTGCCTGGTGCACTGTGCCACTCTGCCTCTGTTTAACTGCACCCTGTGCCCCTGCATTTCTGGGATGCTCATTTTCATTCTCACCAGCCAGCCAGGACCAGCCTCCAAAATCCAGGACTGTCCCAGCTAAAACTGGGACATATGGTCACCCTAATGATAAAGCATTACAAAATAATGGATGATATGAAGAAACTGATATAAATTGTTCATGTGAACTTTTGTAATTTCCAAACTTACAGCTGCTTGCATAACTTTAACCACCCCTTTCTGTAGCCATCCCATGAATTCACCAAAGCTGGACAACCAAGTAATCAAAGACTAATCACAATTTATACGCACAAGAGGAGACAATTAAGATTGCTTGGACATATACAAGTATAAAAATTGCCTACTTTCTAAGTGCCTGGCTGTGTCTACACAAGAAACTGACTGCACAGTAGCTAGTTACTACTGCATAGCAGTGCTGCATGGCACAAAGCATGACACAATGCTACTGCACAGTAGTAACAAGCTACTGCACCATCAGTGTCACCTAAAAGCCATTTAGTACTTGTGTACAAAATTATACAAGTACTAAATCACCGTGCAGTAATAACTGCACAGACAGCATCTCGTATAGAAGCAGCCCCTGACTACATTCATTTTTGTATGTGCAAAGTCTTTCCAAAAGGGAAAAGAAAAATTATATTATATGCAGATATAAGAACTGTTCATCTTGCATTATCACCCTCATCCTGTAATACTACCATTCAAACTATTCCTTCTCCTTCTACAATTCCTAGATAAATTAGGGAGAGAAAAACTCTAAATATAAATGACATCCCTGAAAAGGATTGGAAAATTAGTGAAAGACCAGCTTCACCTACTTCAGTAAAGAGTGGGTAGAAAACTGCGGTAACTCAAACACTACTGGCAAACATCAGATACTAAATCAAAGAACAGAAAAGGGGAAGAGTTCTACCAACATCTGTCCCCTGTAGGACAGGAAAGATCAGGAAAAAAAGTTGGCCAAGAATGTGAACTTGAAACAAAAACTCTGGCAAGTTTTCTTTTTCATTATTGTTTTTTTAGAATGGGTAAAAAAAGTACCATGAAGTCCCTGCAATTATTAAAGGGAGGCGGGGGGGAGGAATTCACTGACAAATTTTCCACATCACCAACTCGCTTATATTTTCAAAATTAAAATGCCAGCATATTAGGGGTGCACCTATAAATATTTTTTGAGCCAATACTGCTGGCTGATTATTGACCAGCCATATCCATTGATACTGATCCAACTGCTGATATGCAGCCTGATAACATGGAGAGCAACATCTGGCTGGTAAGTCTGTTGGAGGGAAGAAACATTGGGAGGCACAAATCGAGGCCCCCCCAGTGAGGGAAGGAGTGGGCAGGGGCAGGGCAGGCGCTGCCCAGAGTGGGAGATAGCTGGCAGCTTGTCCAGAGGGCACAGGGGGATGGCTCCTGCTGCTATGTGCACCCCCACAGGAGGCATAGCAGACATGTGCCCCCCAGACCCATGCATGGGGCAAGACCAGGCTGCAGCAGTGCTGAAAGGGGAAGGCGAGGGGGGGAGCTACGACAAATTTTGGGGTGGCTCTAGCCCCACCATAGCTCCCCTTCCCAGCGCCACCACCACCCACCCTTCCCAAGTGCAACCACAAAGAAGAGGCTGGAGCAGCCTGAGTCCCAAGCAGCCTGCCCTCGCCCTGTGCACAGATCTGCAAGGGGGGCAGCATGTGCCCCCCACGCCTCCTCCAGGGGTGTGCACTGCAGCGGAAGGCGCCCTCCCAGACAAGCTGCAGCTCTGTCCCGTGTCCCACCCTCCCCAGCTGTGCAGCGCCTGTCCCTGCCCCAGCCCCACTCCCTCCCTCACCGCAGGGGCCTCAATCTCGGCCCCTACTCCCCTCTTTCCTCCTCCACGCTCCTTCCCCTCCACAGACTTACCAGGCGGATGCCACTCTCCACGCTGTCAGGCTGCACCCCTGCATGCAACATTTATTGGCAACATGATTAACCACGTCAGCCAAAAAACCCAATTGCTGATCATGTCAATTTTCCTTTTATTGGTGCCAATATAATTTGGACCAATGTATGCAGCTCTACAGTATACACAATTTAGAATTTAAATTCCATTGGTTCTAGGTGTTTTCATTAATCATCTAGCATTGTTTTTCTGGTTTACCTCAAACAAATATTTCTCTGGAAAAATGAGAGACAACAATTTCAGGGGGAACACAGATTTTTCTTAGGGGGCTGCAGTGAATATTGTAATAAAAATAGTTATATTCTTACCTGTAGAGCAAGGGTGTTAAACATACAACCCATTAACCAGCACCTCATTATCTAATCCAGGGTGGGCAAAATGCAGCCTGTGGGCCGGATGCGGCCCACCGGGTCATTCTAGCTGGCCCATGGGGCCCCTAAAAAATTTAGAAAATTAATATTTATCTGGCCCCGGTTCCCTGTCATGCGGCCCTCGATGGCTTGTCAAATCTCAGTAAGTGGCCCTCCGCCCGAAATAACTGCCTGTCCCCATCTAGTCCCAGCTGCTGCCTCTGCATCTGAACTGACCCGGCCCAGGACACACACCACACAGAGCCCATTTTGGCTGCTTCAGGGGCTGTGCCACGCACAACACCAGCCCCCAGTGCTTCCATGTGTGTTGCACACTGCACCTGCCCTAGCCAGTCTAGAACCAGCACTACACATGGGACCACTGGCCTGATCTGGCTCATGAACTAGCACTGCGCATCACTCATCCAGCTCACAGGACCAGATGAGCTGGACACCTTTGCTAGAGACCTATTTTAGGGTTGGAAAATACATTCATCCTAATATGACGTAGGGACCTATGTATTTCTACAGTTGCAAAGTCTGTCCAAAATAATGTACTAGTACTATTTTCTTAAGTCTACAGTCTGCTCCAAGGCCACAGCAAGGCCTGGGGAAGAAACTAAGACATGACAAATCAGTTCTGCAGTTTTATTCCTACTCAGTTCTGAAAAGCTTCATTGAAACATACAGGCCTCATCAGTTGCATACACTTGCTTGGGAAAGCTGAGAGGCAGAACAAATGAGAACTGGGGTCATCTAGTGAAATACGGAAAGTTCTACGTTAGATCAGGACAGCAGTCAGTCTAGTCTAGTATCTCATTACCTGCAGTAGCTAGTAATGCTAATTTCTTTTTAAACAGCTACTATAACATGGTTGAAGCATCCAATTCATTCCTGAACTCTGCCAAGCTTTTTTACCTCAACCACACTGTATAGTAACTGGCAAACTGTCTAACATACAAAAGCATCCTTCTCTATGCTTTTATTTTGCCACCACTAAGGTTGCACTGAATCTCTCTAGCTAAGAAAAACCTGTTTTTCCCAGTTTCATTCCTGCTCTTGAATTATAAGGAAAGATTAGAAATTCTCTTGCTTCTCTAGAAGAAGCAGAAAACATAGTCTAAGCCAGTGGGGGCCAACCTTTTTTGGCAGGTGTAACAAGATATGCCCTGTGCTCTCCCCAAGTGCCACTCCAGTTCTCCTGCCCAATCTCATGCTCTGTTTTCTGCTCTGCTCAATCTGTCGCTGTGTTCCCTGCTCCCTCCTGTGATCTGCTGCATATGCCATGCAGAGGCTGTCTATGCCATATGGCTTGGTCTAAAAGAGATACCTAGAACATCATTAGTTTCTAGCCATTAGGTTATGTGGGGGAGAGAGACTAGCAGACCATGACAGAGTACACACGAAAACTTTTGGGTTCCGACTTCTATGGAACAATGAATGCTAGGTTTGTTTTATTTTGAAGTGGAATTCTTTGTTTCTAAACTAGAAAACTATTTAAAGTGGAAAAAATGTGTGCTTGGAAAGCGTTAAAAGAAAGGGAAAAAAAAGATTTTTTTTGCAGCCATCAACTAAGTAATGATAGAAAAGAAGAGCACTGAATAGCTTAATTGAGAAGCTGCTAGCAATTCTGGCAGTGCCTGCTTAACTAGAAGACAGAATTTTACAATTGATCATTTATTCACAATCCATGTGCAACTGTCTAAATTTTGACTATTCTAAGCAACTGCACTATGCAGTAAGGCTCATAGATCAAGTATTTACAAATTACTGAGCTTCTGGTCCATGCAGTAGGGAAAGAGGAAGAGAACTGTTTACGACGTGCCTTCGGCTGCTCACAACCAGTACAGCATTGTGGTATTAAAAGCTTATTAGAAATGTTACTATTTACAACTGATACTAGTGACTGGCACAGTTACCAAGATGAAGATCATAAGAAAGTGTAACCATCTTAAAAATATTATCTCTAACATGTCAGTAAACATAATACTACATGAGAATTCAAAACAGGCAATCAGAATGCTTTCTGCTTTTACAATCATATATTATATTAGATTTTGGTGTTTTTTGTTTTTCTTTTAGCAGTTTTATAGCTGTTTTAGGAATTTCACATAGAAAAAAAATATATAAATGCCCACTCTTGCTATGAGCCTGCCACTAGCAGAAGGCACAGGTTTCAGAGAGGAGAAAAAAAAAGTTATGAAAAAAAGGAAACAGCTCCCCAGACATTCTCTTCTAACTGGTTGAAGAATTCAAGTCTCATGTTAAAAAAAGGAACTCTCCAGATGCACATTTTAGCAACTTCCTGCCCAGCAGTTACAGTAGTGATCACTAATTAGGTACCCACATTTTTAACCTGGTGTGCTGTTCTCCTACCTTAATATGGACATTCCCATACCCTTGAGGCTTTATTTTCTAGCTGATAAGTTTAGCAACCTGGGAGAACATACTCACACAAGTTCAACCTTATGTAAAATAAGACTGGTGCAATTTGATTTTGACTATTGTTGCTGCTCTCCCTCCTGGGCCTTCTCCTCCTCACCACCCCTCCCACAAAAAAAAACAAAATTGATGTTGCGATTCAGGCCCATTCCTCAGCCAATGAATGGGTGCTACAAGAGCACCGGTACATGCTCATTTGCTCCACTGCCTCCTGCACCCGCAGGCTAGGGTTACCATATGTCTGAGTTTTCCCAGACATGCCCTCTTTTTGGATCCTCCGATCTCCACCTGGGCAGTTTTTTGAAATCTGAACCAATGTCTGGGATTCTGCTCTGCTCCTCTGGCAAGAGCAGGAGAAAGGCCATAAGCAGCAGGGGGTACCATGTGCGTCTGCACGTACACAAACATGGCCAGCATGCAGCCAGGAAGCGGGGTGGGAGCAGCCTCAGCAGCTGGATTCAGGTAGGTCTATATGGGGCAGGGGTTGGAGGGCCAGAGCTTGGGGACTGTCCAGGGCGCTGTGTGTGTGTGGCATGGGGTGTGTGGAGGGGATGAGTGTGAGGGGCACAGGCCCTTTGAAAGCATAAGGGAGCTTCATGGCCAGGACTGTGGCACTGTGGCTGGTGCCCTTGCTCATGGGGCCAGGGTCAGCTGAGAGATGCTGTCCAGGGTGAGGGGGGCATAGCCATGCCTCAGCCCAGGGCAGAGTGCCACAAGCATCCCCTCTTCCTTCCTGCCCCTGTCAATCAATCCACTACAGGACTCCCTCCACCACCTCACGCACCAATCAGAGTTGCTGTGCTCCATCCCAGACAGGACCGGGCAGCTGGGCTGAGCGTCAGGAGTAAAGGGAACCAGCAGGGCCAGGGGTCTGCAGGTCAGGTACGAGGGTCAGCTGCAAGATTGGGGGACCAGCATGGCGGGAGGGGGGTGAAGGGCTGCAGGTCAGGAGTGAGGTGGCCTTTTTTGGAACTGGAAATATGGTAACCCTATGAGCAGGCTACCTGCTCAAGATTGCTGGACAGAGCAGTGGACACTACTGTACTGTAGTATTTCCATGGCAGGATTATCTGAGGTTATCTTTAATAATTAGCCCAAGGAGGCATTTAAACTTCTGCCACCAGCACTTCCGCTCACCTACACACCCTCCTCAGCACAGCTGCAGAGCCTGCGAGCAAGTATTGCCTACCAGAGGTGGAAAAGATGCGAAGAAGTGGAGGTTCTTCAGACCAGAAAGCACAGAGAGACACCACAGCCCCTTCAGCAAAGCACTGCCCCACCCCAGCCATGTGGAGCCCAGCACGAGCCAGGCCGGAAGCGCTGGCACCACGCGGCTCTGCCCAGCGCAGCAGCCCCGGAGGCTGCATCGGCATCAAGCTGCCCGGCCCGGCGGCCCGCGGGACTCGGCGGAGAGGAGAGAGTCGAGTCATGCTGCTGGGGGCAGGGCCGTGGCGGCAGCGGCCCTTTGTCGGGGTTCCCTCTCCGACAGAAGGCCGCTGCCACGTCCCTGCCCCCAGCCAGCATGACTCGGCGGGGATTTCCCGGCCCGGCAGCTCCTCTCATCCCCCATCCCGCGCCACGAGGGACCTGCCGCGCCCCTCCCCGCTGGCCCCCGCGGCAGGGATGCCGGGCTGGGCCGGGCCGGGCCCGGCCCCAGAGCCTACTGCCGCAGCCGTCGCGCGCCGGGAGGA